AAACAGGTGCATCACAACAACAATAACTGCTGCTGTGCCTACTCGATGTTTTTTTACTACTATTTTTCTCCCTGCGTACTTTAATTGTAACACGTTCCAGAACTTCAACACCGGAATATTTCACCTACAGAGTTTTAATCGTTCGACCAATACACACTCGCTCAATGTATCTAAATGTATATAATCGGACAATTAAAACCCTCATAAGGCAATGCCGATTGGGATAAAATCATAGAATAAAATCTACCTCAATGTTTAGATCACACGAGCCGAAACAATGGTGATAGATACAATAGTTATTTTTAGACATTTATCTGTCAGTCTTAGAGCTAAAAAGCTCATTGCCAAGTACACATTGGCATTTGGCAATGTGTACATACAATCATCTATGTAAAACCTCTGTCCCAATTATCGTAACAACATCGAAGTAGAAACTGATAAACCCAAACAGCCCCTTAAACGCAGGCAACATGCGAAAAAATGCAGCTGCAGTAAAAAAAGTTGCAGAGTGCAGAATGAAATCGGTAAAAAAGGTAAAATAAAGTGCGCGCAAGATGTAATCATATAGATACAGGATCTCATAGTTGCATAGGTACACCAGCAGGTAAATCGTAAGTACAGATTTTTGTTTTATGAGGAACGCGTATGATCGGTTTACATGATGAGTAAAGCCATTCACATGAATTAAAGAATTACCACCACAATGAAGCAGATTAAAAAATTGACACCACAACAAAAATTAAACCCGGATGCTTCTTTCTGATCTGAGACGAACAATATCCTCAAAAATTATTGTTCCATGGTGCTTCTTTTACAAACAACAACCTCCGTGTTGGAACAGGTGGAGCTAGTCCAGGAATATCCCTTATGTCTCGATTGTTGGGATTCACAATCTATAATGTGGACGTAAATATTCGAGAGCCATCAGTTTCACTAGAGTCGTGCATTCAGCACATAACACTCAGGGCAAGAAGAGAAGGAAGTACAGATAAACCTAAAGCAGAAAAGGTGAGATTGCGAAAGAAAAGCACATGAGGAAGGTACCTTAACGATAATTATGGCAATAACTCCACACACAATCAAAAAGAGTAAAAGCATGATGCATTTGTCAGTGGCCACCTGGAAAACATGAAATTTAATTTTCCCATACCAAAAGAAGAGAAAGGGAAAAAACAGAAAAACACAGTTAATTAGATGGACACATTTACCTGTCGACCAATCTCCTTTACGAGTTTTGATGCCCTTTTGATAGAGAACTGGATCTTGTCCAACTCATCTACCAAGCGAGCCATTTGTTCAGTCTGTATCAATAGTACAGTGGTCAGGCAGCCAAACACCCATAGGAAAATGAAAATGGACGTTTGCAAAAGATAAACGCATACTCACTTGGCCTTTCAAAGTAGCTGCAGTTTGTGTTCCTACTTCAATAGTTTGGTGGACAACCTATGAACAACACTGACTTTAAAACGCCATCAGCCTGAACCTAAATTTCAAGAATGCACATAAATTCTATCGTCTACCTGTTTGGAGCGTTCAATGGCTTGGTCAGTTTCGTCCATTGTCTTCATTCCAACATCAACAAGCTCCTGGTTTGACATTTCTAAATTTATTTATGAAAAGAAAAAGAATTAGCAAGTTGTAAAGGTGAAAAGAAGGTCCACCAGACAAAACTCCAACCTCATTACAGGCCCTGACGTCAAATGATGAAATGAGAGATTATAATTCGAATAAATTCTCAAGTAACAGAACAAACTAGTTTATGTGGAAGGGATGAGTAGCAATATGGAAGCAACAAGCTAGTTATAATGATGGTGTCTAGTCCTTATTTTATGACTTCAACACCAAGGATTAAGTATTTCAGGTATAATTAAAAAAAAAAAAAATCCATGCCAAAGATGAAACAGCCACAAATTCTGAACAAAGGGGTTGTGAGTTAATCATAGTTCTGAAAACCGGACCGGACCGGCCGGTTCGACCGGTTCAACCGGGAACCGGACACCTCAGCGGTCCGGTCTGGGGTGTTAAACCGCCTGATGTCAAAACCGGTTGAAAACCGTTAGGACCGTTCAGAAACCTTTAAAACCGGCGAACTGGACACGGTTCCAGCGGTTGGGCGGTCTTGCTCATTGGCATATTCTCACTTCATTAAAAACACTCAATAGCTTCGTTATTTTCCCGATGTGGGACTCTCTGTCCCCCTTTTCCTATTCTTCTTCTTTATAGCCAAAAGCCCAATTAAGTTAATTAATGTTATAGCCCAAAAGAATTGAGAATGATTCTACTTTTATTCCTGACTGGTTCTTTCTAGCTTTTACGGGGGCCTTTTTCTTTTTAATATATGATTAATACAAAGTGCAAACTTATTCAAATTCAATGAGCCCAATTAATACTATTATAAACTAAATTTAGAATTTACAAAAACATCTTACGAATTTAGAATTTCCAAAAAAAAAAAAAAAAACTTACAAATTTAGAATTTACAAAATAAATACAAACTTAACATAATAAATTTAACACTATAACATTTAATCCTATAATGATAAGAATATACAATTATATATTATACATATAAAATTAATAACAAAAAATATATACAATTATTTTGTATGTAGATGAAATATCATTATACACTATAACAATAATGACAAAAATGTATGTAATTATATATTATACATATAAAATAAATAAAAAAATTATATATTAATTAAACTGGTTCGACCGGTTCGACCACTGGTCCGACCAGTGAACCATTGAACAAGTAGCTTCACCGGTTCGGTTTTCAGAACATTGGAGTTAATGTGAATCTATTCAGGTATCCCAGGATAACAGTGTCTTGATACTTCTCTTTCATTGGATTTAAAAAATCAAATCTAATAAAGAAGCAACTGATATTTAATGTCACCTGATGCCAGTCGAACATTCTCGTCAGCTTGTGGTTCATAACCATTTCCCATGTCAAAAAGTTCGACCCTCTTACCCCCAAGAGTGCTCATGTACCTGACAGACATAACATAAAAAGCAGAGAAGTAACAACACTGAAAAGGGGAAATATAAAATGGGCATTATCAAAAGAGAATAATTTGTCTCAAACATTGCCACAATTATGTACACAGTTTATTTGTTATTTACAGCAATCCGTATAGAAAATGCAGCTTCCGAATGTTAGTTAGCTTTTCGGATTTTAGTTGTATTATACAACATAATATATCATACACGGATTATAACATCTTTGAAATCAGTTTAACCGAACACCTTGATAAGTAAATGAATTATATAAAAACTACAGGCTGCAAAATGTAAACTAACCACCAGAAATAACTTACGTCTTTCTCAAAGCTACATACGAATTCAACTCTTTTATCTGCACAAAGCACCCCAAAAACAGAAGAAAATAAAATATTAAGAAATATATCACCACATTACAAAAAGATACAGTGTATGGTTGTTCTTCCTCAGGGGACCAAGGAGTTCAAATAAGTCTAATAAAAATCTAATCAGTATGAACTCCAGTCATGTATGGAAACAAAAAGACCATATGGAATAGAGAATATCATACAAACCTATTGTGACAATTCCTATCACATCCAGCAGTTTAGCACAAAGCAACTGAAAACCTATATGACTCATAGTTTATACTGTATGCATATCATATGATGGAGATAATAGCCTGTCGAAGAAACAATTTTACTAAGGGGTAATAAAAACCTGAAATAGCAGCCGAGGAGATAATCCCACTTCTCAGTTCATGTGAACTGACAAGCCAAAAGGCAAGGAAGAATACTAATTTTCCTGCCCACCCTATTGATCTTATGCCTCAAGTATAACTATTACAATCATAAGAAAATAAGATGATATATAAAATCTCTATGATAATGGAGCTTAAGCTTAGTATTTCAAATTTGTTCTCTTTCCTTCCTTGGTGCATGCTAGCAAGATATTGCTGATCACTTTTTCCTCCTAGCATCCACAGTAATTGATTCTCTCCTTTCGGAGGTACTTCTCAATCATAAGCATTTCAACAATTCAAAAGTGCTGACAGGAAAATGTGTGCAACTTCAGGTCAGGTGTGGAATATTATTATCATCATCATCACCCTAGCTACAGACAAATTTTCTATATTATCAAGATTTCTAAAAAAGAAAAAACGACTTCATTATGAGTATGGTCGCACAAAAACTGGCATGACTCGAGAACACATTAATGTCATCACCAATAAACAAATGCGGGTCAGATACAACTAATTCCAAGTTCCCCAACATGCTTACCATGGATTGTTTCTCATCATTAAGCTGCTTGGTCACCCCAGGAGGATTCCTACTTTCCTCTTCTTTAATTTCAAGATCAAATTCTTTTATCAGTCTGAAAGTTCACAACAAATTGGAAGTAAGTGAACCAGGCCCAAATGATGCACATCAAACGACGCTAGTCCTGGCGACCAAAGATGGTACTATTATAAACTAACAACGATACCATTAATAGTAAGTTCAATAACCTGAAATCGCAACCTCTACAAAGTTCTAGTGGCAGATTATAGATGGAGAACGTTTTCATTTCTTCACAAGATCTTTAATGCACAACAGAGTTATAACTCACTCCAAATACTAAAACATGATTCACAGTACACATCGTGCACTTACCTTTTACACTCCCGCATCTTCCCTGTAAGTTCCTCAAGCTGTTTGCTTTGTCTATTTGAGTCTTTGATTTTGTCCAGCTTTTGAAAGCCATTTCTGGTTATGAATCAAT